CAGCTATGCAGACTGGTATGAGTAATTTATCATTTATTAGTAGTGTTTTGACAATGACTGGAGCCAACAGTAGATTGGGTAGTGATTAGCTAATAGTACTGTGAGTATAGATCAGTTTTTCAGTGAAAACTCATCAACAAACAGTCCACGATGCAGATGCCGAAGTGGAGGATGTCGACATTTCCACCTCCACACGTGTTCCACAAGTTTGGAAGCATCGCGGACCAACCAGTGTACGTTGGACTAGGCCAAGCACATCTCTAACCCTTGCACCAAGTTCACTAATCCCCGATGCACAGCAGCCTACTGGAATAACACTTCCATCACGATTTGGAGTATCACTCACACCTCTCACTCGCACTAGCAGCAATCAGATAATGTCCAGCGAACGAACGACAAGAATTGTACCGACCGTAACGGGCGTAAGGCGGAGAACGGCGACGACAACTACAGCTGAAACTATAACAACCACCACTGAGCTTAGCACTTCCACTACTAAACCACCCACGACAACTCGTAGAATCACGACGAGAAAGGTACTCTCGTTTTCTTCTTTCAAACTGCTTTATGTGTTGGACGGGTTATGATTTTTTATTTCCAACTTTTTCCTTAAATGCACCTTGTGATATGATTCGAATACTCAGATTTTCTTCCAGTCTAACTGCAAGGTGAAGCGTCAGCTTTAGGAACATAGAAATAATATGAAAGTTGGAAAACAAAAAAAAANAAAAAAAAATTGGATGGAAAAATGAGCCTCTAATTGAGTCGTGCCTTTAGACGAGAGCCAAGCCAAACATAGAAGCCTCTTCCTGGGCCACATGCTATGCTAAATTTTAGATAATTCTGGCGGCTATAGGATTCTTGTTAGTTTCCTGTTGCCTGCTATGTCAAGCTTTTGAGGCATTTATCTCATCAAACCGTTTATAGTCCTTAGATGCTGTCACATATTGGCTGAATCAGAATCCAAAAAGAACGGACGAGTGGACTCCATCCGTTGGAGACCACGCGACAGGTCTTGCTTCCAAGTTTAGGCTTGAACACAGAACCTTTGCTTGGAAGGGAAGCCTGTTGGGATTAGGGTCCGGATTGATTTCTTAAAAAAGTAATTCTCTTCGTGAGGCCGGCTTTTCTTAATCAGTCACATTTCATCCAGTCTGGTAACCATCTGCTAAAGGAATATTCTAGCGAGCTCCCTGTGCTCATTGATTCAGGGTTGGGATAGGTTACTGCTAAGTAGCATAACTTACATACAAGAAAAAACTGAGGATTTAATCTTTTGCTAAGCTCTTCGGGAGCTAACCAAATGAGGCTTCCACTCCTCCAGGGTTACTCTGAGTACTCTGTAGACGAGTCTAGAGGTTAGCGGTTCTCCTGGGGTGACAAAAGGGCACTCCTGATCACAATATCCACTTTTGAAGCGCTGTAGGGTTGTTAGATAAGGTGGTGTAATGGATAAGAGCACGGTGCCGCAGCTCAAGTACGGTTTTGAGTCCCGTCCGAGGCCACGGTTCTGTCCATAACTCGCCAACCTTGTGAGATATACTTATATTTGTTCCTTATATAACAAATAATCTTCCAGAACAGAATTTTTGTTTTACTTCCTTGAGCAAGCTGTGAAAATAAAGCATTGGCTGTGTTTAGACGACACCAACACCTCTGCAGACTACAACGGAAGAAGTCGAATATGAGATTGTAGAGGTCGAAGTAGACGAGAATGGCAACGAAATCGAGACTGATGCGACTGACAACTCAGAAGAAGAGCCCGCTCACGAGAAGCCAGGGCAGAAGATACATAACAGTCAACCTGGTGCTGAAGTGCAGGTGGATGGACGATTGGGAAAACGAAAGAATCAAGAATTACTTGATCGAGAGGAAAGGAGAAAGTTGGTCGAAGCACAGAAGCGGGCTCTGAACCTTCCCCCTGACACTGAGGTTGAATATCTCGACAGTGGTATGTCCGATTTCCCTTTAATTTTGTTTTATTTGTGCTTTAATTTGATAAGGTGATGGTGATGGGTACGTAAGGACAAGAGAAGTGGCTCAAGTACCGTATGCCTTTCAAAATAAGTTTCTACAAAGAAGATCTGCTCCTCCCTTTCTGACTTGAATCCAGATTTTGGTGGAGTGGATAATGGAGCTACAATGATTTTGAAAAGGAATCCCTTGCCCACATGAATTTCGTGAAGGCTCATAGGTTCTTCCCTTTCTTCCGTCGGGTTGCTTCCGTTAGCCCGCCAACGAAACAACTCGAGATACAAATCAAAAACGAACAAAAAAAAATAAAAATGAAACAAAACTAAATAATAAAAACCACTCAGGGAATCCAAAACTTCTCAAATATAAGATTCATGGAAATAAGCGTAAAAAAGGTTCAATGTAATGATGCCCCGAACCCCATGTAGGCAGAATTGAACGCTAAATTCAAAATTGTGCAGTAGAATAGGAAAATGAAATGGGAAAAAATTGGATGGGATTTCGAAAATGAAATCTTTGGAAGTCGCTTCTAGAAGCATTGGCTAAGGGATTAATCTTCATTGTGAATCGCTCTCGATTTAGATTCTACAAAACGACCCGAAGAATACGAGGAGACGGAAGAATAAGGAGATGAGGCAAACGGNCAGAAGTACGAGTAGAATCAAGTAGATCTGCAATCTTCCATGAGTTCCAATTCCATCCTGGTCTTTCACTTCTCAACAGGTTCTTTCGTCATTTAGAGCAGTGTACACGAATGAATTGTATAATTACTTGTTACTTGAATCTGCTAATAATTAGGTGAGTACGACTATTTTGAAGATGTCATTTATTTTATATTTCCCTACGTTTTAATAATCGAGTGACATTTTATTGTGTCTATTTTGAAGCTGCTGTAAGTTGCGCTTCGTCTTAATAACGTGGTTTAATAAATATTCCAAATTTTTTCGTTTCCATTCCGTGCTATCGTGGCCTTGAGATGAACAGGGCGGAGAATAAGTCCCGAATCTTTTTCCTATGGAATCAGTTTACTCGTCACAAAGATTGATATCAAATGATGTGACAGCTGATTATAGAGTTCCATGTCTCTTCGCCCGAAGTCTTTTTACGATGAATCGTACATGTGACGGAAGTGTGAGTTAGTCACTCAGAAACATGACCAACGGTTTTGAGTACTGTCTGACTCCCTCGAACTAATATTACACTGCCTTTGAAGGCACAGTTCGCGATAATTCAATGGGCGGGTATGTCAACGACGTGTCCGCCTCTCATTCGATGTCAGACAGTCTGAGAGGCGGACACGTTATGACATACCCGCCCATTGAATTATCGGAACTGTGCCTTTAACTGATGCTGCATTGAGATGTCAAGAATTCAAAACAGCACCACCAAGCGTTCCTCACCACAGTTCCATTCAGAGTGGGGGAGAAGCTGAGTTATTGAAGGAGAATGGTTATCTAGCCTAGAAGCGACTTCAAGTCTATAACTATCCAATGAGCTCCCTATACTCAGAGTAAGAAAACTTCTGAAGCCAGACTCTGTATCTAGGATATCAAATGGGCAGGGGTAAGTGAAACAGGCTTGTAACCGTCCCTGTTTCTTTTTTCCGCCACTAGGTTTCTTATATTCCAATAGATTCCTGAGTTTTCTTTCTTGCCGATGAACTATTATACTTAGTGAATATTCCCAAGCCTCTTTCCGTGCCGCGATCACTGTCTAGTGGCAAACCAACGGTTTTCACCATTGCCCAGTGCCAGCCTAGCCTGAATGTTTGAAAATGGTTGCAAATGGTTTGAACGATTTTAAAAACACCAGTAACCTGAGGGAGAATCTTCGAAGATGGGTAAGGACAGACTTCCTGGACTCAAAATGTTTTTTGATCTCGAATCACTTGGCATGTAGTAAGAAAATGATGAAAATGTCGGGTTGGCTATACAAAGACTCAATACATACTCACGAACAAATCCCCTCCAGCAAAGTCTGAGCCCTTGAGGTTTTTACTACGTTGCATCGGTCAGACAATGGGCAATGCTTCAGATTGATATGCCTGCGCCAAGTGATTTATTGTCCTTCAAATTGTATTGTTTCAGCCTTCCCCTTCG